CCAAAGTCCTCAGAGTCTTGAACATGATGGAGCTTCAAAATCCCACCAGGTCTAGGACGTTCCAAAGATGGAGAAAACAAGTGGATAACGATAGAAAGAGAAAAAGGTCTGAAAAGGATGACGGCAAAAAGGACTGGAAAAGGAACAAGTTCATCACCGTTGAAGAACAGTTCAAGGCAATAGGCTCGAGTAATATGTATAATGATACATCCACGGAGGCAAACTATGAGTGGGGTTCAGTCATTTCGCCAGTTGTGCTTTCCTCACGCGATGAACAGAGAACACTCAAGTCTTTAAAGACGTTGTCTGCAATGAAGATTGCAGAGAACCAAAACTTGTTGAGCTCTTCCATGCTGAAGTCGAGTTCATGGCAGGTTTGGAAACTCGTCTGGGAGTACATCTCTCTATGGAGACGCGATAGTTTCCAGACGTTTGAACTGTTTGCATCCAATTTTAGTAAAGAAGCCCAGTTTATGTGCCATCCTTTCGTTACTAATCAGGTGTTGGCAAAGAAGGACATGATCCTGAAGTCGAGCTTACCGAACGAAACACGCCATCGGGTAGAGAGGGTCTTTGGTAACATCCGTTTCTCAAACTTTGTGACGACAATGAATAGCTTGACCTTTGACAATATGGTCATGCTGGAGATCAACAAACCAATGAAGTATGATGAGCTCATCCACTTGACAAACTTGACGAATCTAATGGCTCTGAAGATTGGAAGACTTACTACAATTCCAGACCTTGTACTGGACAGGTGGTGTACATGTATCAAAGCAGGTAAATGGAAAAACCTACAAGTATTGTCATTACCATTAGAGTCACAAGGTGCACTGTGTAAATTGCAAAAAATAGCTGCATCGTGCAAGCTGCTATACATAGAAGTGACAGGCAAGACAATTGTTAACATCCAAAGGGACTGGAAAGATTTGGACTTGATCAACTGGACAGTGACCAACGATCGTGCTATGGAAAACCTACCTTGGGGTATAAAGGCACAAACCATTATGAAAAAGTACAAGATTACAAACCACACGAAGTTACCTTCACCATCAACGATCTTACTCGATTTCCATGTTGTCAATCACACTTACATTGGGAAATTCAAAGATTTGGAATCGGAATATGACCAGCTTTGGAGTCTAAGAGGGTTAACTGGGTTCTCTCAGGCCATTGTATTGAACGACAAGGCCGTCCCAGAAATCACAGCTACTGCAATCAGACCTGGATCAGTTCAACATTCTGGAGCTGGAACTAAAAAGCCTACCATAGTGAAGAAGTTGCAAGTTAGAAACCTGAAGTCCTTTTTCAACATGTGATGGTTCGTTAGTCCTATATATATAGCATAAGCAGTTTCAACTACGAAAGAGCATCTATAATTAATCAAACACCATAAAGAATTAAACAAG